AGGCAGTATCAGTGGAGACAGAAACAGTTCATGATCTGGTCAGTGATATTTTGCAAAAACTGATGAAAGTTTATTGACTCAAACACTAACTCTTTCTGGCATACATATTATTTTGTTTGTATTGATATGTTTGTAGGCACCCTGTTTTTGACTGTAATTTAGGTTAAGGTTTTACTCCTCCAGATTGTTCTTTTAATGAGTGATCGAGAATTTCTGTATTGTGACTATCAGACTAAGAACATGGAGTTTCATTTTTTTCTCTCAATATTTAACTTAGCTTAGTTCAGTCATTTCCTAAACTGCTGTGGTAATTCATACATCCCAACAAGCGCAGGAAAATTGTTTTTAAAATTGAGGAGGTTTCCATTCACACAGGGATCACAAGCCAGCATTTCCGGAATGTCTGCCTTAAATTTTGCAGGCTTAACCCTTTCCAATTGTTGCATGATTTCAGTTCTCAGATTTATCACTAAACTGTGAAGGTTATTTCATGCTGGCATCAGTGGGCAAATTGGATTACAGTACCTGTTTTGACAGGACTGATCCATTTCTGGTGTGCCTGATTTTATGGCAACTGAACTCCACACATGTCCACTTGAAATGCCAACAGGTTTAAGTTATGATCTGTGTAGTCAACAGAAATCCAAGATATAGTTGCTCAATGACTTTCCGACAAGAAGACCAATTCTTGTCAATGGTATCTGTTTTACTTACACATAACATCTACTTCCGTATCTTAAGTTTCTCAGTCATTATGTAATCCTAGAAGTACTGTGCTCTGTTCATATCTGTTCAACTGCATCCCAAATAAGGAAGCTGTAAATTTTTGTTTGTGGCTTCCTCGCCTAATCAAATATTATAATTGTAATCAGAAGTTTTGTATTTAAAGCTATATTCTGGAGTTAACCGCTTGTGATGGTTAAATATCCTTACACCTTTGAGTTTATAGCCATATGTAAATATGCTTTTCGTAGATTCAAATGTTAACCATTTGTGATTGCAGCTTTTACAAAATTGCCTTTTAGCTTCAAGGGACAGCACATAAACTAACATAGCATTCATTCACTAACAACATTGCTTATATTGTCCATTTGCTTTGAAATTTTGCGTGTGTTCATGCCATGAAATCTATATTTCATTGTATATTTATATGAAATAGGGCGTAAAAGTTCAAGATATTTACACTGAGCACTTTGAACCGCCCCTAGATATTTGCACAAACTTGCAGCTAAATCATTATTAATTTGCACTTGAGTAGAAATAACCTGCCAGTAAGGTATATTAGTAACGAAATGACAGCTTGAATTTATGCACAATAATGTCTTAAGTTCCATGCATCAGACTGGAATTTGCTCTATGCTATTGTCATTCATTGAACTTCCTTTGAATATGTACAAAATTGAATGCAGCAGTTCTAGGTCAGGTGAGAGGAAAATGCATGCTACCTAATTCAGATCTTGAGTTGACTGTTAATGAACAGTTTTTTTTTGGGCGGGACACGCAAGGGCCACGAATATTGTGCTGACAATTTTCTTAAAGGCATATCAGAAGAATGAATTGTTTAGCAGGCAGACAGGTTTTTGTTACATTTGCTTATTGGAATCCTACAGTTACATTTTCTGGAACTCGACTGCACTCTCCAAAAAAAAAGTGTTCTGATGTAGATTGTATTGAGGAAGGATCAAAGAAAGATCAACTACAGATGCCAGCATTGAATTGATAAATCAATAACTTTCTTACTTTGCAACGTGAATGCATAATCAAATAAAAAGAGAAAACCAAGGCACAGAAGTATGTTTTTCAGTTAGCTAATGTATTTTAAAGTCAAAAATACACCTGGATTGTAATGCTCTTTATGTAGAAAAAATGGTAATTGACCAGAATTTGGGTGCTGCAATGACAGCAAAGACCATTTCTATTCACTATTATTCTACAAAAATAACAGCTTCTAGCATCTGTGCATGCACCGTAAAGCAGGAGATCTCACAATTATGTCAATGAAACACTTCCTTCACAGGATATGCTGTTGTAGTCATTGCCCACACAACCTGCACACAATCACTGACCTGGCATGAACTTTCCACCCACTATTTTAGTTATCATAATCCATGAAAATATTAAACCTTATTTAATCAGGAGCAACTGAGTTTTTTTTTAATGGTATAATAAATCAAAATTACTATTGTATGACTTCTTTGATCCTGAACAATTTATTTTACAGATATGACTAATTTCTCCAAGAAAACTTAAAAATTATTATTAAAGTAAAAGCAATTAATTTTTTATTTAAAATGTATGATTTTTACTTCTCACCTAGTCCCGTGTCAGTGCCACAATCTTTATTTGACATTCTGTACAGTGATTAAAAATGTGAAAATTTACAACAAGACGGAGATTGTATAAGCTTCTGTGAAATCGCGGTGGGTGACTTTCTTAGTGTTAATAGCCAATACAATCGCTTCACTGCTGACCGCAACATCATATTAAATGGATGGTTGAAGATGATAGTATGAAACCTCGAAGACTGCGCAAGCACTTAAACATTGCTAAAAAGAGAGACGAAATCGAAGCTAGCCAAATTTCCATGCTGCCCACGGGTCCAACCAACCAGCATCTTTTTCTCTTGTGTCTTGAATTGATAGCCCCCTTCCATGTTTCCTCTGCGTGGGTTTCCTCCCATAACCAAAGATGTGCAGGCTAGGTGGATTGGCTATGCTAAATTGCCCATAGTGTTTGGGAATGTGTAGATTAGGTGGGTTATAGGTGGATGGGTCTGGGTGGGGTGCTTCGAGGGCTGGTGTGGACTTGTTGGGCCGAAAGGCCTGTTTCCACATTGTAGGGATTCTATGATCTATGGATTCTGTGATCTATGTTAGTTTCTTGCAATTCACTGGAGAAGGGAGACTGCAAAAATATCCCCCAACCATAATGATGGAATAGCCCAGGACATCAGTCCAAAAGGTAAGGCTGAAGCGTTTGCAACAATCTTCAGCCAGAAGTGCTGAGTGAATCCATCTCAGCCAATTTCAGTGGTTCCCAGCACCATAGTTGCCAGTCTTCAATTTCAATTCTATCCACATAATGTCACAAATGATTGGAGGGACTGGATACTGCAAAGGCCATAGGCCCTGACAACATTCCAGCAAAAGTGCTGAAGACTTGTGTTGCAGAACTTGCTGTGCCCATAGCCAAGTTGTTCCAGTACAGCAACTACACACTGGCATTTACCCAAAATTGCTCAGGTATTCCTGGATACAAAAAGCATGACAAATCCAACCTGGCGAACTACTGCCCCATCAGTCTACTCTCAATCATCAAAAAAGTGAGAGAAGTATCATGAACAGTGCTATGAAGCAGCACCTGCTTAACAAAAACTTTCTCACTGACACCCAGTTTGGGTTCTGCCAGGGCCATTCATCAAACTTTATTTTAGCCTTGGTTCAAGCATGAACAGAAGCACTGAATTCCAGAGGTATTGTGAGAGAGATAGCCCTTGATATCAAGGCAGTGTTTGACAGAGTGTGGCATTAAGGACACCTAGCAAAAATGGAATTGATAGGAATTGCACGGGGGGTGGGGGGGTGGGGGCGCTAGTACTCCCTGTTGATTGGAGTCATACCTTGCACAGAGGAAAATGGTTGTAGTTATTGGAGGTCAATCATCTCCGCTCCAAGACATCTCTACAAGCGTTCCTCATGGTCATGTCCGAGGCCAAACCATCTTCAGCTGCTTCATCAGTGATCTTCCATCCAAGGTACAGCCCAGAAGTGGGGATGTACAATCATTGGCAAACCATGTTCAGCACCATTTGCAACTCCACTGATACTGAAGCAGTCCATGTTCAAATGCAACAAGATCATGACAATATCAAGGCTTCAGCTGAAAAATGACAAGTAACATTCATGCCACATATAAATGCCAAGCAATGACTATCTCCAGTAAGAGACAATTTAACCACTGTCAATTGTATTACCATCGCTGAATTCCACGACTTCCTAGGGGTTATCATTGACTAGAAACTGAACTGGGCTAGCCATATAAATACAGTTGCTGCAAGAGCAGGTCAGAGGCTAGGAATACTGCAGTGAGTACCTCCCCTTCTGACTCCCCAAAGCTCATCAATGATCTGCAAGGTGCAAGTCAGGAGTGTAATGGAATACTCTCCACTTGGCTGGATGGGTGCCACTCCAACAATACTTCAAGTTTGACACCATCCAGGATAAAGCGGCGGTTTGGCACCACGTCCAGAAGTATCCACTCCCTCCACTGCTGACGCTCAGTAGCAGCAATGTGTACCATCTACAAGATGCACTGTGGAAATTTGCCAAAGATCCTTAGACAGCACTTCCTAAACCATGATCATGTCCATCTGCAAGGACAGAGCAGCATAACATAAATATACATGGGAACACCACCACCTGCAAGTTCCTCTCCAAGACCCTCACCATCCTGACCTGAAAATGTGTCAGTGGTCCTTTGCGGTCAGTCAGAATCTTGGATTCCCTCCCTAACAGCCTAACTTGAACCACTGCAGTCCACGTGCTGTAAGAAGGCAGCTCACCACCACCTTAAGGGCAACTAGAGACAGGCAGCAGATGCTGGCTGACCAGCCAGCAATGCCCAAATCCCACAAGTTTTTTTTTTTTAAAAACTCACTTTGTCTCTTTTAAAAGTAATGTTTAAATATAAAACCTATTTTCTCTTGTCAGTTTTCTAGTCATTCCTATTTGTAAATACTGCCACAGTTTAAGTTTGACAGAATGTTATGTTACTCTTTCCTTTACAAAATTGACATTTTAGGAAGACTCTTGTTTGTAGTAACAACTTTGCTTTAGGCATGCGTTGAAAAACATTTTAATGATACTGTTAAAGTGGTGTGCACAAATGTGGTAAATGGAAGAATACTGCAAAGTTTGGGGAACTGCTGAATAAATGAATAATAAAGCATCTTTAAATTTTTTCAGCTTTGGTTTATTAATTAAATTCTTTCTGTTTCACAGCGGATCCTTTAGTTGGGAGCATAGCAACCCAATATTTGACCAACAGAGCAGAACATGACAGGATAGCCAGACAGTGGACCAAGAGATATGCTACATAAATTGCATCACTTCCTGTGTTGTGAAAAGGAGCAGGAGGCATTATTTACAATGTGCAACAATTCTTTATAGCCTTTACAATACGGACTTCTGTGTATATGTTATACTGATTCTAATCTCTGCTTTTATCTTTGAAGATTGGGAAAGGCCCTGTAAAAGGTAAAAGCTATCGAAGTAGATCTTTGTAGCAGTAGATTAGTTATGTTTAAATGCCTACTTGCAAGTCTGCTTCTTTGGGATATCAAAATGTATTTTGTGATGTAATAAGGAAAATGTTCCTCAAGTCAACCAAATATTATGGTGCATTTTAGCCTAATCCATTATCTGTATGAAATCTATGATAGCTGTAGATTATTAGAATTTTGGCATTCGTATTAAACCCAGTTCCATTTCTGATCATGTGGTACATGCTGTTGTGAATCCGTTTTACCTTTTTGTCAATTTGTAATGAAGAGATTTCATTTAAACCTTTGTAGCTCTAAATAATGAGCATATGATGTATCATCTCAAAACACAATAAACTGTTTCCGAGGTTATTTATTTATTTTACATTTGGTGTGTTATTTAATGGGAAGAGTAGTTTTACTGAGTCATATGGTTGGATGTTGTTTGCGTATGTTGCTGGCCTCTGCAACTTTACAATATCGTTGGGTAACAAAAAGACCTGGCATAGAATAATGGTCAAAAATGACTATTGGGTGAAAAGTTAAGGTTTGATGCTAAGTCATTAAATGTCATGGCGTACGAAGTTGGTAGCAGATAAGTGGCCAAAGACTAGTGCAAGCATGCAGTTGTGTCTTTGCTTACTCATTGATGCAAAACATTATTTTATGCTCAATACAATTTGGAGCATATCCCTATCTGTTTTTATAATGTGCTAATAGAATTTTACTACTGTGAAGGAGCAGGTGCTATTACTTACTTTGCACTAATGCAGCTTTTAGGTTGCATACTGATATAGTAGATTATCACAACTATTGTGTTGTAGCTCTTGTAGTAATGTAGCTGAAAAAGTATTGACAGAAATCCAAAGCAAAATGCTGCAGATGCTGGAAATCTGAAATAAAACACCAAAGATGTTGGGGAGAAAATTCTGAAAATGCTACATGTTAAAAGCCATTTAGGCAGCATCTATTTAGAGAGAGAAAGGATTTAAGTTTATGATCTGTGACCTTGTAGCAGAGCCAGGAGCAGCTATAGATGCACTAGGCTTTGAGAAAGAGATGGGTGGGATTAGGACAACGGGACGTCTGATAGAGTGGAAGACAGTTTTTTTAAAATAAAATGAATGACTGAAAATTTACTTCTTTAGGATCAAAAGGAATGGAAATGAAGCAAGAATCAAAAGATATCCCAAGAGCAGATACGCTGATTGAAAGAAAATAAACAAGTATAGAAAAGGGAATAAAATGGAAGACTGAGTTTATGGTCTGTAATTGAGCTCCATGCTGAATCCAGGAGGCTGTAAAGTGCTTAATTGAAAGATAAAGCACTCTTCCTTAAGCTTACATCAAAATGTTCCAGTGAATCTTGTATGAAGCATTTCAAAACAAAAGTTACTTGGATCTGGCACAATGTGCTTATCTACCTTTTCTAATATAGCCTTTGCTCCAACTAATCTCAAACAGCATAATTTATTGTAAATGGCAGAAGAACCTATATAATAAAACTTAGTGGATGGATTGTCAAACCTCTGTCCCTGAATCTGTGGTCACAATACCCAGAGAATTTACACCTTAAAAGGGCCCGCATAGAGAAACAATTACATTTGGCTGAAATAATTAGTCTATTTAGTTAGGCCTAGTTTGATAAACTATCCCCATACCTAAATGTAAAGCACTCCTACTCACTGAACTGATTAGAAAAAAAGTTACCATTTGGCAATGCCACAGCATCTCAATGATGCACTTTGCTTTTAAATCATTTAAAACAATTTTTTTGGGCCATTGAAGGCTTCCATTGTCTCCTCCTTACTTGGGGCAGTTAATAAAATTTAAAAGAACGTGTATAACCACACAGAAAATTACACGGCCCTGAAATCTATCCACAAACTTGATCAACTGTTTCATTTGACAAACACCTATAAGAAGTTTTTCCACCCTCTGACATATTGTCAAGTTCCTGCTTTTTAAATGAGAGAAAGAGGCATTGTTATGAAACAAAAACAAAATGTGAATCACAACAATCCATCTGACACAAAACCCAAACTGGGCTCTCATATGTAAATGAGATACAAGTACTGGGGATTTTATGTATAAATTAAGTCAAGTTTAGCATGTAATAAGGTTTGCTCCATTAAACACCAATCCTGTATTCAAGGGGGGATTTGAACTGTGTTTTAGTGGATATTGCAGCTATAATCAGACACAGAACATAGTGAATTGTTTATTAAGAATCAATGATAGAGTTAATCCTCCATGATGCATGGTTATGCCAAAAACAGCAAATCTACCTTGGAAATGAGAAAGATGGCCTGAAGGAAAGAAATCATTTACTGAGGAAGGAGCCAACAGTTTTAAAAAAAAATGCATACAGCAAGTATTTTTATTGTGTTTTAAGCATTTCAGTGAAGGTGGCAATATGTACATACTTGTAGGCCATGAAATGTATTTTGAGAGGTTTTTGAAGGCTTTAGTAGAAGAAGCAAGATAGTGGGATTTGGAGAGTTGTTGCAGAGAATTTGGCTATGATTCTGACACATAGTGGAGCAACGAACAAGTAATTTTGTATAAATAAAGCTAGAGGAACCCTACATACATTGAAACTTTGGGATGGAAAATGTTCGAATAGTAAGGGATAAGGCTATGGAGGGGTGTATTACTGAAAATTTTGAATTTGGCGTACAAAAGCCTGGAATGATTTTGAATCCCTCTATCAAGTTGCCTTCATAGCCGCCTTTAAAGGGAATCAGCCTAGCAACTCCAGAACTGTGCATAACTGGAGTCCCTCATCCCTTGAACCAGTATTGCAAATCCATTTGTTTCACTTGTAAAGCCTTCATGTTGTTCCTGAAATGTGGTTCTTTGTTTTAGATGCAATTCTCCAATTGAGACCAATTGCTTTTGATACAGGCTTAATATGCCTCCTTTGCTTTTAAGTTTAATATATATTAATAATGCTTTAATTCTTAACTTGACCCCCATTCAATGAGTCACGCACGTACTACCCAGGTTTTTCTGTTCTGCTCTTTTGTGTTCTGAAGAAGGGTCACTTTACGTGAATCGTTAACTCTGCTTTTTCTGCACAGATGCTACCACACTTGCTGAGTTTTTGTTTTTGATTCCAACATCTGCAGTTCTTTGTTTTTATTTGCTCAATGTTCTGCTACTGCTTTGAGAATTGTCTCAAATTTATGTTGTTTGTCTCTCATTTTTCTACTGAAGTGTAACACTATACAGCTCTGCATTAAATTTCAGCTGCCCTGTGACACGGAGCCCACCAGTCTATGTTCTTTTGAAATCCTATCAATATCTCCACAGTTCACAGCACTTCAAAGTTTGAATATTGCTGAAAAAGACATTTTGTCGAACATTTTTGTCGTGTGCTTGAGGACAAGTCATAAGGAGATAACAAAACAAAGAGAAAGCAACATTTTTGTGTGTAGAGTACCGATTGGCAAATAGACTCTGGGGAATGCACCAGTAAATGATGACTAACAGTTGATTGCTAAACTTCTTTTGACTGTATTAATTCACATTTGTCCAAGGAACTGCTAATTTTGTGTTTGATTACCATCACCAAGATTTCCATCCTCAGATTAAACTCATTAGTCTTAGTTGCTGGATTTATTCTTGCATATTTTTGAACAAGAATGTTGTGTGCAGTTCTCCAGTCCTTTGGCATCACTCTAATTCCCAAGTACTCCGACACCATTTCCGTCTCCATTGTAGATTATAGCCAGTGCCTCTGTGATAAACTTTTATTTCCATTAAGGTTCTCTGCATTCTAGCTTGTCATATTGGCTTATGCACCTCAACTACAGGTTTCTAAGGCATCATCTTTATCAATTTTTAGACAATCTAGTCTATCACTACTTGCTTTTTCACTGGGTCTTGGACAGTTTTCTTTCCTTCATAGAGACAGATGTGAAGTATTCTTAACAGTACCTCAGCTATGCAATTTGCCTCACTAATAGTTAAATGTTTTGATTGGCCCCATTTGTCCTCTTTGCATTCTTGCCATTTGTGTGGTTCTGGAAGACTTGGCTTTCCTTTATACTAGTTGGCAGTCTCCTTTCATACTCTCTTCGCTGTGATCGCAAATGGATGTCATGCAGACTACAGTTGACTGAATAAGGATAGATGCAGGTTGCAGAAATGGGGCAAGTTGGAGATCGTTGGAGTGAACCTTTTGGAAGCCAGTGAGTAGTAGATTGGAGAAATTGAGCCTGGAGATGAAAATAGGGTAAGGTTATAGTGGATAGTGTAGAAATCAGGATTTGGTGAGTGTTTTGTGATTTGTAGAGGGTAGATTCAAGGGTAAGGCTTTAGTTTAATGCAAATAGACTGAGAAGGAAGATTGGATCATAGATTTAGTACAGGATGTGCAGTCTATTTTTGCAGAAGAAACTAGCATTATTAGCATACGTGTGCCAACTAATCCCGTGCCTACAAATAATGTAAACAAAGAAAGAAATGTGCCAGGAGTGGAAGCTTGAGATATTAAAGAAATGACAGTGCAGGGGGATTAGAAGATAAATCTCTAGTTGCACTTTTAGTCCTCAAACAGTCCAACTGTGGAAGGTCTGAATGAGAAGTGGTGGAAGAAAGTAGGACTGTCAAATTTTGGAAGTGCTTATAAGCAAAAAAAGCAGAGCATCAGATTGTAAAGAATATCAGCTGAGCTGGGCTTGATTGCCTCAGTGTTGCAGACTTGGCAGAAAGTGAAATTGGGAGCCGAGTCTGGCAATGAGTGGCGGACATCCTGAAGAAATGTATGTTGAGGAGAAGTGAGCTAATAAAAAGTATAATAAAATGTTAAAAAAAGTATTTTATGAATTTGCTCATGCGATGTGGGCATCTTTGGCTAGGCTAGATTTTACTGCGCATGGGGTCTGTTAAGAATCAACCACATTGCTGTGGTTCTTGGGTCAAATGTAAGCCAAATCAGGATGGTAGATTTCCTTCCTTAAAGAGCATTAATGAACAAAATGGGTTTTTGAACAACAACTGATGGTGTTTACATGGTTGCCTTTAGGCTGAATTTTAATTGCATATTTTTAAAAAATCAAATTCACATTTCACTAGCTGACGTGGTGGGATCGAATTCGATTCACCAAAACATCAGCATATTACCAGTCCACTGTCATTACCACTATGCATTGCCTCCCCATTGTATCTTGGAGCAAGCAAAAGGTTTTCCAAAATAATTAGGCTGATTTTTCAAGCATCACCAGAATAATGCAAAGCTTGTCTTCTGGTGCAAAGAAGTGCAAAACATTAATAATTTTGGCCACAAGTTATTACAATGCAGCTTTGGGGCTAGGGTAATAAACATTGATAGAGGTGTCCATCAGGATATTAGTAAAGAAAACAGC